TTGTTTCCCGCGAAAAAATGGCGCGAATGCCATTCTGTGTTAGTGATGCGAAAAACCATGACATTAGTCTGTACTTGTCACTTATTTACCTATATTCGCAAAAAAAAAAAAATAATGAAATCTCAAGAAATGCTCTTTGCCTTAAATGAAATGTTTATCTTTACCTAATACTAAATAAGCTCCAAGAATACTAAATAAAACGAGCATATTTATATTTTAATTTTTACAAAAAATAAGAGAATTCTTAAGGAGAGGAGATGACAAACTAACCCCCGGCAGAAGCACAGTCGACCATGTTATTTTATTATTATTATTATTATTATTTTGTATTTGTTTTTAGAATTATTTTCTGTAATTCCGATACCATTAGTATGTGTACATCCGTCAATACTGGAAGATTGACTACTATTTTTATTACCAGAAGTTTTACAACCTTCCTTAATACCAATCAATCTCCGACTGCCATTTCGTCCAAGCACGTTTTACGACACGTGTTTGACTTCTAAACGCGGTATTTTCAGCCTAATTATTGGATCGCTGCTCGGAGCCCAGTATTAACCATTCGATACTTAAACTGCGAATAAAATTTTAAAATTTACATAGAATACTTGTACGTCCAAGCAAATAAAATACGAGTATTTCATTATCTGCAACACGTTCTATCCCCATACGAAATACTATGAAAGTGTTAAACATGGCAACACCGCAGGAGTGAAATATAACAGTGTAACACAAACAACAATCAACAACGACTATAAATCGTGTATGTCGACATTGGCGCTATTTTATCGACATTTTCACATCACTACAGGACAACATGGCCGCGGGCCGTGAATCGTCCGTGTAACAATCCCCTTATAGCCTGCAGCAATGTGTACGGACTTTTAAAACATAATGCTGTGTTTACACCAACATTAGAGCCAGGTGGAATTATTCTAAAGCACTGATAGTAACAGGGAATACGGTTCGATGATTGAGAAAGTAATATAATTAGTATGTGATCATCCTTATCACTAGTATTTTTGAATTAGTTAATTAATTTTTCCATTCACGTAACTGTCATTATAGGCGACTAAGTGAACTTATTTTTTTTTTATAGATGACAATAGAATAGCAATCCCGCCTGCGCTATCGGTATAAACTGGCGGGGCGCCAGTGAGAGATGATAGGTGAGGATGAAAGCAGGCCAGTTAGCCTATTATGTTGAATTCAACAAGACTTAATCACAATATAATGTAAAAGTTGTAGGTGAAACGTATTAAATAAATAAAAAAAGAATAGTTTCCAGGGAGAACCGCGTGGAGGTCGACCTAATAGGGTATATCGCTAGCAATGTGGCTGTTAGACCGTATTATTAACAATCACATTCCCTAAGAGAACTTATTGGTCGAGCATTAATGGCAACAGCGTCCCTCTTAAACATCAACAAAGCCTAACTGCGGTTACCGACCAACATGCCAACCGTGACAAAACTGCCTAAGGGTGAGGCATATGTTCAGCAGTGGACAGTTAACGGCTAATATCATCATAAAACATTTAAATTTCGAATATTCATCTTACTAATATAATAGACGATGTCTTTATGCTTAAAATTATGTGTATGTTTTATCTTAGTAAATAAATCTATAAATGTATTTTATTGAGTTTCCTATTTCTGAAATCTTAGTATAAAAAATAGAAAACAAAACGTTACAAAAACAACTACATATTAATATAAGATTAATAAAAATATTTTGAAAACATTAATACAGGTTATGGAAAACCTATAGGTATTAATCATAGGCTATAATCTAAATTGTATCATCCGTTAACTATCCACTACTGAACATAGCATCCCTCATGACAAGGGTTTTGTCAGTAGTTGCCACGCTTGGCAGGTGGATTAGCAACCGCAGTTTGGCTTTTAGTGATATTTTAAGAGAGACGCTACTGCCCTTGAATCGACCTTAAGCTCCTGAAATCGCAAGGACTCACATCACAGGATATTGGCCATAATATCTTAGTCCTCAGAAATGGCAATACATAAGGAATACAATAAATATTATAATATAATATATTTTTGCAAACTGCCAAGAAATAGAAAACCCTTTCTATACAATCTGAGACTCTTTAAGTTAATGGTGAATAAGTAATTTTTGAGTGAACATGTTCCATCCTAGATCTTATCATCACTTAGCATCAAATGAGGTAAAATCAAGCGTAAGCCTATTTTGTAAAAAAATTTAATGTCTATAGTTCTGTTTATGTCTAGAAGCGACGGTTACCACTTACCAGTAAGTGGACCGTCAGCTTGTTGATGACCAACGAAATGATGATGTGTGTTTTGTATACTCTTACTTTAAAGTTACCCTGACCGAGCGAAATTCTGTCCTTAAAACCTACTAAAATAGCATAAACCGCAATAAGTAGTTATGAATATTTAGAAAAACCAATTTCCCATCGACAAAATAAAAAATAATCCGCGTTAGTGTGTAAGTACATGTAATCTCTATCAACCTCAGGTATAACCGCGCCTTTATATTGTCCATTCGCGTCAGCATTGCGTTCTTTGAAAATTGCTTCAGAAATTCCGATCCTTTATACACCTTATCGTTTAAATATTAAGATTGTAACTTCTTTGTAATGCGCTTCACATTCTTTATTACATAAATAATGGTTCCGTACATCATCGCAAGTGTCGTTGGAGTAACATCATTCCCTGTAACAGTATTTGATGGCGACGCAACTTAGCATTATGGTTGTTATTCCTTGACCGCCAATACGTTTTCTATAATATAGATACTAAATTACGTATTAACATGCCGGAGTTACTTCGAATAAAAAAACATTTATATAAATCTGTGCAACCAATGCATTAAATTCGGAAATTTTGCACTGAAAAGTAGCTAGGTATTTTATGACTGCTATCGATATCGATATTTTGGACAAAGGCGTAATTCAATGCTAAATATAGTTTTATTGTGTTGGTACGTTTAGATAGTTGCTTAGTTTAATTTTTACATTAGGGGAACCGCCAACTTTTAATTAACATAGTGATTGCTTGCTATGGGGATTTTAGTTCTCAATTCTTATTCTTAATATTTAATACTTTTTATAAAATTGTGTATATTAATAAAAATTGTTGTTCAATAGAGAAATTACATACTCATTGTAAAAACTTTACATTCTATAATTTAGACTAATTTGAATATCTAGGGAATTTATCTTAGACAACATTACGAAAATTATAGGATATATGCGCAATGGTAATTCTCATACGCTGTCGCTACAGGGGACGGACGTTAAGCTTTTTGTGTATGGAATTACATTAGCTATCTCTTATCCTTTAGACCGAAATCATTAGAATAAAATATTCAGTCTACTTTTTTTTATGTACTTAGAACGGCAAGCAAGTTAACAGCCCACCTGATGGAAATTGTTAATCGTCGCTTATAAACATGTGTGTGTGTGTTTATTTTTATACCGAAACAACAACACATGAACGCATTAGATAAAACCGCTTTTACCAATTCGATTATGTTAGTTTTTTATGTAATAGTTAATAATAATCTGGACACTCGGATATTCGGACACTAGACACTCTGACACTCGACAATCTAACACTGACACTGAACACTGTGACACTACGACACTCCGAGTTTCAGTCACTCGACACTCGGACACTAGACACTCAGACTCTCAGTCCCTCGGACACTAGGACACTAGACACTTAGTACTCGGACAACAGACATAGGATTTTTGACACTCAGGCGCTTGGTCACTGAAGACTCGTACATTGGACACAGACACTCAAATACTCAGACAACAGACATGGGATATTGGACACTCACGACACTGGGCATTGGACACTTGGACCTGCGTACACTAGACACTCGGACTTCAAAATATATATTTTTAAGTACTGAATGTCATTGTAGTAGTGAAGTTATTAATTTTTAATTTCCAATAATAGTAAACACCGTTAACAAAGCAATATGATACTATCTTAGAGGCATTTTTTTATTATATTATTATTATTTTAGCCGTTAACTGTCCACTGCTGAATATAAGCCTTCCCCATAAGTGGAGTTTTGTCACTAGTTGCCACACTTAGTAGGCGGATTGGCAACAGTAGTCAGGCTTTAGAGATGTTTTAAAAGGGACGCTGCTTCCCTTTTAATATAATAATCCCTCGCCCTCCCTTAGTCGCCTCGTACGACACCCACGGGAAAGAAAGAGATGGCCTATTCTATGGCGGGATCACACGGCGACTTAGAGGCATTACTAACATATACCACATTTGAAAGCTTAATAAGTAAATTTTAATCATATTAATCTTGCTTCTATGTTCTTTTTAGAATTAATTTTAAATTTATAACAGTAAATTACAAATTAAGTCCATGTTTACTGTTTACTAACAAAAAGCTTTGTAAATAAAAAAAAAATAGATTAAATGTACTAGTGTGTGTATGTAACCGTAGCAACAATGTTCTTAATAGTGGGAGCGTGTGTATCTGTACTTCGAAAGACATTTCATTGTGTTCCATCAAAACAATGAGATAAGGTGACGTTATTATTAATAATTCACAATTATTTGCAATTAGATCTCCTCTTGTACTTTAAATAATTTATGTAATAGGTACTTCTTATTACCCGCGACTTCGTTCATATGACTAGGATACCTAGGTATGATAGGTGGGCCGTCAGCTTGTTTGTCATTCTAAGTAGCATAAAAAACCTTGATTGACCGAGATAAAAGTAGCTTATATTCTTGTTGTGCCAAATACTAAATGTATGCCAAACGACGTTTTCATATTTTTAGGACTTTTTTTTAATGTATAATAATGAAATGGTAACCCCACCTGCGCTAACGGTATACACTATCGGGGCACTCGTGAGGTAATGTAGGTAAAAAAAGATGACTGAATAAAGTGTTAAATAAATAAAAAAAATAATTATCTAACTACCATGTTTTTAAAATTTAACATTATTTTTATGGCAATATTCGTTCCGTGTTCCAGAATGGATGCAGCGCGCTGCAGCGGGCCGCGGCCGACGGGCACGTGGAAGTGGTGCAGCTACTGCTGCAGCACGGCGCCGACCCCAACAAGCAGGACCTCGTCGTCAGTATACCACTTATTTTCCACAATAGCCCAAGAAAGTGGGATAACGTTACTATAATACTTACAATGACAAACAACCTGATGGAAAGAGAACCATTGTCTATTGACGTGAATGGTACCATAGATATCATAGAATACACTGTAATGCCCATGGTATCTTTCATCCGTTACCATTCCTGAGAATTATGATGTTATACGTCAGTATTCTATAATTTCACTGCCACATCGCACCCTTCAAACTGGAACAGTTATAAAAGCACAGCAAAAAATGAGATAGTCTATTGTACAAAGTCTCCCTCTAATAAATTCTAGTAAAATCTTTCTAATAACGCTAGCGGAGTTACCGCTTGTGTTAGTTTACATTGGTGGAATACCAATGAGCTATATACAATAGAATACTACTACCATTTTCCAGAGGTTAAAACCTCTGGAAAATGCTTTATGCAGACCCATACTCCTTGTGAATGGGTACTGTAGGAATGCCCCTGTAAGGTGAGAGTGTACCCACCAAAAACCAGACGATATACCCTCGAGGTACCATATGTCGGAGACATGGGTTCGCTTTCGCACTCACCATATCTCCGACGGCAGCGACCCGCCTCCTGATGGTAAGAGCAGGTCTCCTCTCTCAAAATAGGGTGACTGGCGTGCTCACCCTACCACTCGGGGGATGCGCCGGTATATTAACACATCCCCCAGGAGTATACTACTACCTGCTTAAGTACTATCCATAATTATTAAAAAATCATCAAATTGAATTACTGTCAACTTAAATTCCCAGCACGGCAACACGGCAGCGCACGAGGCCGCGTGGAAGGGTTACTCGCGGTGCGTGGCGCTCCTCGCGGGCGGCGGTGCAGAGCTGCGCGCGCGCAACGCGGGCGGCTTCACGGCGCTGCACCTCGCCTGCCAGAACGGACACAACCAGTCCTGCCGCGAGATACTGCTCGCCGGCGCACCACCCGATGACCAGAACAATGTGAGTTGCATATGAAGTACTCTACTCTGTCATCAACATAAACGTATCTACCTCACTTATTTCTGTCTCCAAATAACTTTTACGCTTTGTCTCTATTTCAAAAGTGAAATATGATGATTGATGATGAAAGTACTGGGTATTTACTGTCACTCAGATCTTCTTCTGATGCTGCAATCGTTTATAGTCTCCGCTTATAATCAAGTAGACCATATATACCTGAGTGTCATCCTCATTAGATAAAAATAAAGTAATCGACTGATTACTGAAATAATAACATTTTCAATTTCAGTACGGCGATACGTCACTCCATACGGCCGCTCGGTACGGCCATGCCGGAGTCACGCGTATCCTCATCTCCGCACAGTGTAGAGTCTCGGAGCAAAACAAGAACGGAGATACGGCACTTCACATCGCAGCGGCTATGGGCAGGAGAAAACTAACCAGAATCCTGTTAGAAGCCGGCTGTGACAAGTCTCTGAGAAACCATCAAGGAGAAACAGCAAGAGATATTGCGACTAGGAAAGGTCTCCAAGAAATCATCAGTATACTTAATACACCAGTAGCTAAACAGACGAAAAAGAAAGAAAAACAAAGAGATAAAAGCAAAGAAAGAACTATCGATGAACCTGATGATGGAAAAAAGAAAAATAAAGACAAGAAAAAGAAGAATGTGCATTTTGAGAATCCGCCTACAGTCCAGTGGTCACCATACGGATGCCATTATTATCCTGATCCTAAATTCTTCCCAAAGCCAAAACTTAGCTCTCTACCCACCGAACCATTAAAAAAAGGAGAGCAATACTATTTAGATTTGGCTGGAAATATTAAAAAGGGACCCATTGGTGCTGGCTATACATGCTATTGTGCACCGTTTTTCAAACACATGGAAGATAAATTGAACGAAGACAAGAAAGATTTGAAACGTCATATAGATCGTGCTCATGAGAGATTAGACCAGAAGGTAACGGATTTGGAAATGAAAACTCAAGGACAAATATCAGAGCTGACAAGGTTTGTTGCAGCAGAACGAGCATTATGTAAAGAGAGGCACAAACATTTGGAACATTGGATAACTCGAGGCATGATGTTCAGGGCATCAGAACGTGTGAGAAAACTAGATTATAGCCCGAAAGGTTCCTTAGATATAGCTCCACTAAAACGAACTAGAAGTTTGGAGTTTTTAGACACAAATGCAGAAGAATGGAGTAAAGTCCACAGGATAATAAAGAATTTCAATCAGAATACAGAACAGTATGAGAGTAATGCCAAAGAACTGAATGATAAAAGCAAAATAACGTCTAAAAGCACCGAAGTTTTAGATAGTATAAAATCACCTGATGGTCCCAGACGGAGACAATTGCTTAAGAACTCTAGAAGTAGTGATCATTTAGATGCTGGACCTAGTAGAAGTTCTAGATCCCCCCATACACCAGCACCTCATACAAGTCCAATTCGAGATAATAATCATTTTCAAAACGTGACAGCAGAAATTCACGTTAAGGCTAATAAAGTATCAGTTTCTCAATCACCAGTTTCTATGGAAGTAGAAGCTTATAATGAACGTTACGTGTCACCTAGTCGTCAGTCCAACATAAAGTCTCCAAGCAATAGCAATAGGCATTCAGATTTTAAAGCAAGTGATTCTGAAGGAGATAACATTACAAGAAACCAGGAAGATAGTTCTCAAAATGTACCCGTATGGAAAAGTCAAGTGCTTCAAAGAACTGCAGACGATATTCGCAAAAGAGTTACGCTTGAAAAGGAAATGGCTGACGTCATAGATAGAAGTAATGCAAAGTCTTTAGATATATCTCAAGATGGATATGTTAAACTTCGTAAACAAACAAACTACCCTAGAGAAGAGAGCAACATAGTAAGAGAGCCAAGAAAATCCGTGCAAGAACTAGTAGCACAAGTAGAACACCAACAAAGATGCCAATCCCCTGAACCATTACATTTAAGTAGAAAACCCGTACCCACCGAAGCACAAGAAACTCCTGTAGCTCGAATGAATATTCAACCTGCACCTGGTATACTAAAAATGCCACAACAACCTCAAAGGCCCGCGCCAGTCTTAAAAGAAAAGCCACCGAAAAGCAAACGATTCAGCTTGCATAACCTTATACCATTCCCAACGAGAAAAACTTTCCAAACTCCACCAAAGGACAATGGCAACAACTCTGAGAGCAGCGACGAAGAAGACAATCCTATAAGGAGCACAAATCAACCCGGACCAATGAGAAACTCCAACTTGCTCCAAACATTACCAATGCCTAACTTCGAGACCATGTCAAATAAATCACAGTCGCCTGCACCTCAAGTACCTCAAGTGCAGTCGAACCAAAATAACCCGTATGTTCAAGATCTAAGACCCATGATTCCAAAAGATGCTTATTTTCACGAGATACCTAATAGACAAGTACACCATCAAATGCCATATAAAGATATGATAAATACCGGTCCTCCACTTCCCCAATACACTCCTTGCCAAACGCAGTACGACTATAACGAGCCAGGATTACCTCAGAACCAACAAATACAAGCTCGAAATAGAAATCCTTTGTACCACCATCAAACAGGAGTGTTCGATGCCATGATGCAAGACCATATATTGAGGGAAATGGAACGAATACCACATTGTTACAGCGAGCATTTGGACCAGAACACTGAGGTGGAAATAGCTAACCAGAATGATCACTTTCGTGGCGGGTACTACGATAACCGTCCGGCAATGTACCCAAATTTTAGAGGAAACCCACATGTCATGAATAGGAAACCAACTCCTGATCATAACTTGCTCCATAGTCGACTTCAATCTTTAGCCATCAATACTCACTTGACAGAAACTCAAAGCCAGACTGATAGGGAATCCCATAACGATTCAGGATACAGTACAAAGGTGTATGGAAGTTCTCAGGGCCCATCGCCGAGTCTTTCTGGCCACGTGGAGTGCTCAGATAACCTTTCTGGACAAAGAGTAAACGTTGTACCTAATGGTAAGATAGGCGCGCAGTTTGGTGCATCGAGTTTAGTATAGTACTTGATAGAAATGTTCTTAAAAAAATTGGTAAATCGTCTGTGTATTTAAAATACTTCAATCCTTGTTCCATAAGAGGCGAAACATTTGCTCCAATAGAAATGTCGATGAATATTCTATAGTCACTATTCCAATGATCCACTAATCAATAATAACTAATACCTAAGCTACATAAAAAATACACAACATACTTTATATTGCTGTGCCTGGAAATTAAACCCAAAATTTGGATAGACGATTAGAATTATTTTGTTTAATTCCGTTACTATCAGTATGCATGCATGTAGAGGGCGCCAATGTCTATTACCTATAACGAGCGGGTGGATGCCCGCGAGTTGCCCGGATTGGTCGTTCTATTATGTTGGTAGTAGTGACGGTAGGTTGTACCATGACAGTAAAATTCTATGTACATTTGGCGGACTTGACACCGAACAGTGTCCTCTACCAGTCAACCATTGGGTAAACCGAAAAATAAGTAGGCGGTGCATTATATATCCAGAACTTCTACTAATAATAGTAATCAATATTTAAATGTTGGCAGTCGCACGTATTCACGCATACTAATGGCAGCGGAATTAAACAAAATAATTCTAATCAGTAATATGGACTTCCGCAAATTAACACCTAGTTCACTATCTGGAAACTGTCACTAAACCTATCATTTCACCAAAATGTGCTAATTCCAGAAACTCTCTGTGAAGGTTTACCTGTTGGTATAAAACTACAAAAATTAAACGAACCATCTATAACATCTTACCATAAAAAAATGCGCCTATTTGTGCCTTCCTTATCTAATCACAATTAACAAAAAAGGATAGCGATTAATACTGTTCAAATGCGATAAATGTTGTTCAAATAGAAATATAGCTTAGTGATCAATTAGCGACTTAAAATACTCAAAATTTAATGTAAGTCACAAGCACGTATACTCACAATGCAATAACGGTGTTAAATATTGTTATATACTCAGGGCCGGATTATTCATTAGGCAGTGTAGGCAACTGCTTAAGGGCCCGCCATAGACTAGGAACCTCATGAACCGATAATTTTGTTTTCGAAAAGATTTCAAAACAAATAAATCCTCAATAAAAATTTTTCTTTATATTTTTATATTACGTCATCTTAGTATATTTCGTAACGCATTTCAAGTTATTATATGTACAACAATATTTTAGCAGTTTTTTTGCTAGCGACACTTGCATTGCCTAGAGACCCCAACATAATCCGGCTCTGAATATACTGCTAAACCATATTATTCTCAATAAGAAATCTTATAATTTTTGTCACTGTAGTATCGTAAGAGATTCCCTTAAATTCGGCAATGTCTCCAACTCGACGATGGGCTTTCTATAAGCCGTTTCCAATCATTTTTACACAGTGTAATGCAACTTCATGATTGGTCTGTTTTCATGAACGCCCTGCGTCATCTTTTACGGCCGGTGATCGGTCGTCCCTCAAATTGGAGACCGGTAGAGAGCCGAGGTCGCCAGTTCGGGAGCCGATCACATAATTTTTTTTTTGTTGCAGTATCCGGTCATAGTACCTTCCTAATGCTTCTCAAATATTGCGTCTAAACTGCGCCCACCATGTACCCTCTTGTATAGACATTCCGTCACCCGTGTCCAATAACGAGGACGGGATGCCTTAAATACTGTACCGCAAAACATAAAAAAAAACTCAACGATGGTGAAATCGAATTAAAAATCATACATTCCCAATAAAGAGAGTTTAGTTTAGGGCCGGGAGTTTTCCATTATGAATAACTAAGTTCATAATATTTTATTAATACCAACATAACACTATAATACCCCGTCGATTAAAACATCAACGAAGACATTCTTTGACAATTTAAAAAAAATCCTATTTACAAAACTTAATGGTACATAAAATTCCAGACAAATTATCATATTGAAGACTAGGCAGCATGGTCTCCGACCTTAGCCTGTTCCACAACGGAACAAACGTACTAAAAAAAAAAATTTAATGGTACACTAGTAACATATGGTTTAGCGGTAAAATCGACGCCATTAAAAAAAAAAAGAGATAATAAATAAAGTACAAATTTTAACTAGAAATATTGATGCCATGTATCACACTATACCTTTAATAAATTAGATATAATATATAAAAAGAAATAAGTTTGTTTGTTGTAATGTTTGTAAAAATGTATGTGTTCTTTAGATATAATTTTTTTATTTTATTAAAATACGTTTTCAATTTCTATTTTTGTGTAAAATAAATATTTATTATTGATTTACATGTATGTATGAAATAGTTTTGTACTGATTGCCTTAATTAAATGCACTTTAAGTGTCACGACTAAACGCTTGGCTTTTTTTTTATGTATGTCTAATTACTTTACTCCATCGTTAGTTGTAAAATACGCTTTTAGCGATAAAGCTGTCTACTGTTATTTTCTCTACAGAATTTATAAATGTCACTAATATTCTAAATACAGTTTTAATGCTATATGGATGTCTGATGCTTAGACGGAAGCCTGAACGAATTTCAAAAAAATTTGATAAACGAGTATGTTAACACTTAACATATAGGATACTTTATATACTAATTCACAAGGGAACGATATATAAATGAATAGTATTCTTTATTAGGTTTTTTTCGATTGCTTGGGTACCTCTGTCCCATTCGTGTTTCAACCGTGAAGCAGTTGTGTTTGCATGGCTGTGTTTCGGTTTGAGGGTGGGATATGGCGTGAATTTACTGGGTACATAGGAATAACACCTGAGTCCTCAGGAATGGCAACGCATGGGGGGTATCATGAGTGAAACAGTATAGTCTGTTATGTCCACGGTACTGCTCATGTCTATAGGCGACGGTTACCACTTTCCATCAGGTGGGCCGTCAGCTTGTTTGCCATTCTAAGTTCTATAAAAAAAAAAATAACAAAAAAGTAAGGTATTCAAGACTAAAGTTTTTTTTAATAGATGATAATAGAATGGTACCCCGCCTGCGCTATCTGTATATACTGGCGAGGCACTAGTAAGGGATGATAGGTGAGAATGAAGAGACAGGTCAGTTGGCCCATTGTAATTAATTCAACGATAAATTAGTCAAGATGGTTTCCAGGGGGAACCGCGTTGAGGTCGACCTGATACGGTATATTGATAGCAATAAGAAGTAACATCCCCATTACTAACAATCTCTTCCGTCCAAATTTTAAGGTTAGGTTATATCTATCTACAACATAAAAACGGTGTTACTGATATCTAAAATAAATTTATTAACAATGATACATTAATTCACATGTAAATCTTACAATATTTACATTCTAACGGCATGTCTATCCCCCCAGCTTGTTTCTCTGTAGAAATCCCTAATACTTGTATGGTATAAAGGAATGCCGCTCAGCACAGAACTTTTGGCGCCAACAATTTTGACAGCTACATAATCGCCGGGAGTGACAGCCCTCCTGCCGCCATCTTGGGCCAAAATTTCCGTTTGATCAAACAAAACCTTTATGTACAATTCATTTCTGCCTAATATTTGGCCTGTTTTCTTCACGATGCTCTCGACTAATACCAAATGCGTGTTCCCGATTTCTGCTTCGTTTAGCAATTGGCTTTTTTTCCTGTATAATTCGATCATGCGACTGTGTCGTTCCTTTTTAACTTGCTCTGGGACGTCATCTTTGTATCTTCTATATGCTGTTGTTTTCTATGAAGGCAAAATAGTACATTACTGCAGCGGCTAGCAACTGAGGCATTGATGGACGAACGTGCAAATGTGGGCCGAGGCGTAGCCGAGACACACATACGTGAGTCCATCAATGTCTAGTTGTGGCCAAGGCTTGTATAGTACTTTTCTCAAACAATGCGCAGAAATCAAAAACACAATTTTACTTTTTAAGTTCAATGACGAATAACGAACAATAATAATTTTTCACGCGCCATAATGTTCCTTTATTTTTTTTTTTTTCAATAAACAGCCGCTGCCTGCATGTATCTGGCCAGTAGGGCATTTTTGATTTATCTCGAAGAAGATTGTCAAAATAATGCTCACATTTTCAAGCATGTTTGAGAAAAATATATAATTAAATCTAAATATTTTAAGCCTTTCATAGTATGAACATTATTCACACTAATTATACCTACTAATACGCATTAAATGTACCCTTAGATTATATAGATACAGTGTCTCCATAGAAATGCTTCGAGAAAAACAACTTTTTCATACAATTTTACGTGATAAATAGTTATGAGTATTTCCTTTATAACTTCTATATTTATTTTGTCTTATAAATTCTGCATCTTTTTAATGCGTAAACACTCATTTTATTTATTAAATAATACGTCAAGATACATTTTATGCGTAAGTATAGTAGAACACTGATATAAACAGGAATGAGCTAATTATCAAATTAGCTGATAAAAAGTTGACCCGTTTTTGAGGCTCGATGCTTTTTTTCCTATAATCTAAGTATGTTTTTTTTTATACCACTGAGGTGGCAAACAAGCATACGGCCCAAGCGGTTACCGTAGCCTATGAACGCCTGCAATACCAGAGGTATTACGCGCGCGTTGCCGACCCTGAAGAAACTTATTTACCCCCAGTTTGAAGAACCCCATGCTGTAGTCTCTTGGGAAAACCTCGGCAGGGAGCTCATTCCATAACCTGAGTGTTCGTGGGAGAAAGCATCTCTGAAACCGCGTTGCACGCGACCATTTAGACTGTAAGGTATGAGGGTGAACTCCTATATAATACCAGACCTACCTATAATACCAAACTTTTTTTAATGAAGCATTTTAATTGTCATGTAATTGTATTTTATATATATATTTTTTTAGAATTGACATTACTAATTGTTTTAATACCTAATTCAATCAACATTTGCCCTTATCATGTTTATTAAATATTACATACATACATACATACATATCTGTCACGCCTGTCTCCCATTAGAGTAGGCAGAAACAATGGAACGCCAAATGCTTCGATTCAAACAAACCTCTTTCGCTTCTTCCACATTCATCAATCTTGTCATACACGCTCGCCGGTTACGGGTACTTTTAATTTGGCCCTTCTTCAGCACGTCGCCAAAAAATAAAATAAATTTTACATACCTAATTATGGCGAAATATGTGAACATATACCTATTTTAACATCTATATACTTATCATGTTTCTTGCAAATAAATATTTGATGTATTAATGACTTGTCATGAGTGAATCACGATAATTCAAGCGATTTTAGTTGAGAGAAATGAACAGTTTCAATTAAAATCAGAACTTGCCTCTCTCATACTGTAAGGGAAAAGGAAGGCCACGTTGTAGTCGACGAGCTGCATCAGTGACAGCGTCTCTTGGAACTCCTCCTCAGTTTCACCACAGAAGCCGCAGATCATGTCCGTGGAGAGACCCACTGTAAATAGAAAAGTATATAAATGAGACAATGTATGAATTCATCATCCAATACATACAATAAGATTGCAGCATTGCAATTTTTTTTTTTAAATTGCATCCATATTATATTTATCTAAAAAGATTCTTGTTTACAAGCACTTTTAAATTGTCATTTTTTTTTTATTTACTGCATAATTATAATATGATTGCAGAAATAAAATAAAAAGACAAACTTTTAATTTACGAGAACGATAAACTTTTAGTTGTTATACCACAATAGATACAAAAAAAAACCCAGATTAAAGTCAAAATGTTGCCATACTAAAAGAACAAAAAATATTATTTTAACTTGCCACTATAGAAAAATTATATTTGAATATTTTCAATTAAAAAAAGTGTATAAATATAAATATATATATATATATATATATATAGTTTAGGTGTACGCACCGCCCGGTATGGCGTGCGTGACGTGGTGCACGAGCTGCAGGTAGGCGTGGCGCGTGTAGCCGCGCCGCATGCGCGCCAGCACGGCGCTGCAGCCCGACTGCGCGGGCAGGTGCAGCAACTTGCAGATGTTAGCACGCTCCGAGATCACTTGTAACACCTGCGCCGACACATCGCGTACACACACTCTTAATAATATAAACACATCTAAGTTTAACATGTAAACCACCTTTAAATTTAATTTAAATTAAAATATTACTATAAAAAAAAAAACAAAAAAAAAAGAGAAAAAATATAAACCATATCAATATTTTTATAGTAATATTATATATATATATATATATATATATTCTTTATTGAACTAAAACATACAGTAACAACAATAAGTTAATAACAATGTTAGCAAAGGCGAACTTATCTCTAAAAGAGATCTCTTCCAGTCAACCTAACGCAGTGGCATAGGAAGTAGTGAGTGGGCAGTAGTAGTGCAAGACAGAAATTTAAATAAATATTTATATAAATTATAAACAATTATATATATATATACACACACACATACATACATATATATATGAGTTATAAAAAATAAATATAATATTTACCAACGACAACAAAAAGTCTTACAATTTTATAATATACATAATATCTTTCGAATGGAATATACTAACGATTTGAAAAATTCAAAAGTAATCTGCAGGTATTGAAACAATTTTGAATACAAAATAATTTATCAAAAGTTAAGTTTAAGTTAAGTTTAATAAAAAGGTACGAATAACATGTACAACGCGACAGCGTTATTTTTCCTATTTCTATGAACTATTAAATTCGTAATATATATATTGAATGGAATAGTCGATTTGAAAAAGTAATCTCCATAAATTGAAACAGTTTGGAAAACAATATGATTTATTTGGATAAGGATTTTAACAGAAGTATGAATAACATGGTGTAATTTTGGTCGGTATTTCTATTAACTTTTAAAATGTAAGTGGTTATTGTGACATAACGATAATAGTTGGACATATAGTATCGAGAAGTTTTTTGTACTTATTGATATTTCCTTCAATATTGTAGAACATACTTTTGTTCTATCACCAATAGTTTCCGCAGCGCACGCGACCAGAGATATTTTAAAGCATTATTTTTACACCTTGAGTTACGTTACTAAAGTTTTAGTAAGGATCCCTAATCTTTTCTAGCAATAAACATAGCCTATGTTACTCAGGGTGAATGTAGCTTTCTAATGGTGAAAGAATTTTTGAAATCGGCAAAGTAAATTTTGAGTTTATTCATTACAAACATACATACATACACACAAAAATACAAATCTTTCCTCTTTATAATATTAGTGTAGATTATATCTTCCACTCAGAGACGTGGCAAATCTATATAAGATAAAACGTAGAACAAACTTATTTAAATTATTTCAAGCAGTTTTTGCTCACCTCATCAGGGAAATCTTTCGGGTGCGCCGCAGTGAATCTGATCCTCATCTCAGGGTCTACACTGGACACTTTGTCCAGCAGATCAGCAAATCTCAGACCACCTTTTTTGTTCTTGTACACAGTTTTAAAACCTAGAAATTAAATTATAATAATTTATTTACGGTCCTGAGCCACCTGCATCCACTGACTCCCTGCAACGCATTTCAGGTCGTCACTCCATCTAGTGGAGGGTCGCCCTTTACAGTGTTTGCCGGTACGCGATCGTCACCCAATAACCTTTCTTCTTTAGGATTAGATTAGAAAGCTTTTAATAACTAGAAATAGAGATATATGTATATAATGAATAGGACAAATAAATAAACTATTAATTTTTTTTTTAATGGGTGATAATGAAGTGTTATCAGTATACTCTGGCGGAGTACCAGTGAGGGATGATAGGTGAGAATGAAACAAGTCAATTAGCCCATCATGAGGAATTCACTAGAAATTAAACAAAATGGTTTCCAAAAGGAATCGCGTTTAGATCAACCTGAGTTAGATAGCTCAGGCATTTACGACATTGCTAGCAATAGGATTGGTAAATTCCATTACTAATTCATTTCCCCCCTATAAATGTCAGTTAGGAGGTAAAAAAGCAAAGGGAACCATTAATTCGCCTGAAGTACACAAGACACCGTGTGACAGCCGTGTGGTCCCGGCATAGAGTAAGTCACCCTTTCCTTTCCAGTAGGTGTCGTAAGAGGCAACAAAGGAAGCTTAAAGTAGAGGGATGAGCAGTAGCGTCCCTCTTAAAACATCACCAAATGCCAAACTGCGGTTGCTAACCCGCCTGCCAAGCGTGGCAAATTTTTTTTATACAACATAGAATGGCAAACAAGCTGACGGCCCACCTGATAGAAAGTGGTAAGCGTCGCCTATAGACATAACAGAGTATACAGTTTCGCCCAGGATACCTCCCATGAGTTGCCATTCCTGGGGACTCAGGTGTTATTCCTCTGTACCCAGTAAATTCACGCCATATCCCACCCTTCAAACCGAAACACAGTCATGCAAACACTACTGCTTTACGGTTGAAACACGAATGGGACAGAGGTACCCAAGCAATCGACTTTTGTACTGCCGGTAAAATCCCCCTTATTAGAGACAACACAAAACTCAGATTATAAGTAAAATTACCTTTCGCCATTTGCGTATCCCTAGCTTCACTCTGAGTGGACACGTCCCTGTAACTGTTGACATTCTGTCCCAGCAGCGTGACCTCCTTGACGCCCTGATCAGAGAGGTATCGCACCTCGTCCACTATGGACGTGATCGGGCGGGAACGCTCCCTACCTCGTGTGAAGGGCACGATGCAATATGTACACATGTTGTCACAGCCTCGCATTATTGAGCTGTAATGTTGCAATATATATTTTTAGAACATACTTTTATAAAGCTATCAACATATAGTTTATATTTTTTTCATTGTGATTTCACGTCTCCCACATAGACTGCCATAAGCAATGGTCCTGAACCACCTGCATCCGTTGACTCCCTGCAACGCATTTTAGATCGTCACTCCATTTAATGGAAGGATCGTCCTACACTGCATTTGCCCATACGGGATTGCCACTCAAGAAATGTTTTCCCAGTCAGTTGTTAGTTCTTCAATCTATGTGACCAGCCCATTGCCACTTCAACTTGTGTATCCTTCGGTCTACACATATGTTCAACATAATATAGTTAACCTTTTAACCTTCTTCAATACTAACATAATTTAAATTTATTTATATATTATATATATACATACATATATATATACATACATACATATATATAAATATACATATACATATACATATATATACATATACATATATATATATATATATATATATATATATATATATATATATATATATATATATATATATATATATATATATATATATATATATATATATTACTAGCTGATCCCGTAAACGTTGTTTTACCACTTATTGCGAAATATAAAAATCGCGATTAAAATACAGGGGTTGATCGTAAAACGATGAAAATTTCAAATTGTATGTATTTTTCAATGCTAAATTATAATAAAATAAAAATACAAAAATTTGTAAAAAAAATAATAAATAAATATTTTAATATTTTGGGGTGGGTCACCCTTATCATTGAGGGGTATAAAAAATAGATATTGGCCGATTCTCAGACCTACCGAATATGCACACATAATTTCATGAAAATCTGTAAAGCCGTTTTGGAGGAGTTTGGTAACAAACACCGTGACACGAGAATTTTATATATTAGATATATATATATATATATAAAATGTGAGATAGTATCAAAAAATGTGACTCACATAAAAGCAGACACACTATCTTGATTTAATCGAACTGGTACAACATCAGCATATGTCTCGTCAAGTGAGAGAAGCACATTCACCGCTGTTTGTCCACTGTCAGTCAACGCGAGTAGACGAGGCAAGTCTCGATAGCTGTCTGGGCCTGCCACTGTGGTAATAACATTTATGATCAGTGGATCCTTTCCCCTGGTGCTGTGGCAGTTAAAGTAATGATAGCAGTGTATAGATGGATAAACGGTTGCATAAAATTAATTTAAAATAATATATTTTTAAAATCAAATAATAATTGTTGTATGTCATAATGTATTGTAATTGTATAATAGGGGAGAAAAACATATTAATCAACTATAAATATTTATTGTATATAAATAATAAATTATTATAATTAATTAATAAATTATATTTAATACAAAGCATGTAAACACTTTGAAATTATGTTTATTAATAAAAACTAAAAACTTATACTTTCTTTAAACAACATCTGCTGTCCACTGAAGATTTTGTTTTCAACAAAAACTTTAAGTTGATATTTTAATCTAATGTTATTAATAGGAAAGATTTGATTTTCAGTTTGTACTGAATAAACTCATAAATATTAAATATTAAGAACTCTTTCACCTACAGAAAGCAAAAAGAAAAGCCATGTAGGTCCCAGCATAGAATACGCCACCCGCTCCTTTCCTGTGAGTGTCATAAGAGGCAACTAAGGGAGCTTACAGTGGAGGGATGGGCAACAGTGTTGCTCTTAAAACAACACAAAAACCAATCTACGGCTACCAACCTACCTGCTAAGTGTGGTCACTGGCAAAACAACCCCTTTATGGAGGAGGCTATGTTTAGCATTGGACATATAAGGGATAATACAACAACAGAAAGCTACATAATTTTTAATATTATGAGCTTTTTTTTTTTAAAATCATTTACCTACATAGATTGTTATGTAGGTCTAAGAAGCCAAGAAGAAAGTCACTAGTATTGCCCCATTAATGTGCTAATGTAATTTGCCAAATAATAAAATTAAGGACAAAAACAATTAAAAACAAAACAACAAAAACACACCAACATCAACTGCCTTCTCTTTCTCTACAAGTTTCTCCTTCAAACGTTCTGCCATGCAGCCAAGTATTGCGATTTTTACTGGTCTATTTTTATGTTTTGAGAGAGCTCGGCGCCGTTTGAAACCTCTTAAATGATCTAAACGATGCCAAATCTTGGTCTCCGCTCCTTCCCTTATGGCACACGTCATTACAAGGAAAATATCTGCTTCTTCTTCTATTTCAGTTCTTTCAAAACCTTCTTTTTCCAAAATAGACCATACTATATCTGTATCATTCAAGTTCATTTGACATCCGTACACATCGAAAAAAACTTTTCTCTTTGATATATCTTGAATATCATCAGGTAAATAAGGTATATTAGGACGTTCTGTAAGGATTGGCTCTGATGATCCAGTGATAAACTCCTTCAAGTTTGGTCCATGGTTTAATTTATCCTTCATAGTAGTTATTCTAGTTGGTGCCGAAAAACATCGACAATTTTTACGTGTTATTTTATTTATTTGCCTAACCAAGCGGCTTGGATATCTTAACGACATCATATCACAGATTATTTGTATTAATTTTTTTAATAAAGACCTTTTTATTATTATAATAAATAATTTAAATCATCCCAAAATTCAAGCAAAATAACCAAATTATACTTTTGCAAACATTGTACGGCAACGTCATGATTGACAGTGACGGCGTGCCTCAGATGGGATAAAAAACTAAGAACAAGGAATTCCATAGAAAAAATGATAAAATTGTCAATTGATAACAAGCTAGTGTATAGAAAATGTTATATGGCCGTATGACCCTACTAAATTCTGATACAATCTGCTTGCATACTTTTTTTTTTATTTGCATAAGAAGAAAGGAGGCAACCATATGATTTACAGTTTTTATTTTATCATTCCTTCTACGTAAATCCTTGTTCTTAGATAGGTAACAAATTCTCAAACATATTTTTTAATGGATAATAATGGAATAATAATCTCACCTGCGCTATTGGTTTACGCTGGCGAAGCACCACCAATCGTGATAAATTCCACAAGAATTAACCATAATGGTTTCAAGAGGAAACGGTGTGGAGGTTGACCTAGTAGGGTATATTGCTAACAATAGGGACTAACCTCCCCATTACTAACAATCCCTTCCCCCCCCCCCCCCCTCACAACATATACTGAGCTTTCAATTCCATTGTTCTTCAACAAAATTACTTACTGTATTCTTAATCTAGCCTAATCAAGAGAAAAAGAATACGCAATTGTAAACGCTTACGATACCGCTGGTTGTAAAATAGAAACGGAGCTACTCCGTCTTTAAGCGTTGACATGTTTCGGTTTGGAACTATGTACGACGTTTTTTAATCATAGATATCATACTAATTCCACAAGTACTATCCTTAATCTATGTACATTAGAACATAGATTATAGACATAACTATATCTATTAGACAATTTGATTGACAGCAAAAGCAATCTGTCGAAAAAGCGCGGGAAACGTTTAAAAAAGCGGGAGTGTTTTTTGATCTTCTTTAAATTAATTTTATTTTTAATTATATAAGGATTAGTTTTATTTATATATTGTGTATTAGATTGTATATATAATTGTATATTTTGTAGTAATAGTGTTTGTTGCTGTAAATATTGGTAAGTAAATTACCTATATTAATTAGACATTATGGATCCACCTATAGACCCTGGGAGGACAACCCCCCAGGTGTCTGCAAATATAACTATCCCATTTAATAATAGTTTTGATATATTGGGTGAATCTAGTATGGACACAGATGGTTCTAGCGTTGCAAGTTCTAAACGTAAGCGAGTACGTGGCGAACGTCGCATTTGCAAACATTGCAATAAAAAACGAAGGAGGCACACCAAAGGTCTCGAATCTAAAATTAAAGATAGTGATTGTCAATGTATTGAGGATGAGAATCAAACTCTAGTATCAATACCAGTTGTAAATAATACCGAGTCTGTTAAACCTGCTTCTCCACCCAGTACTTTAAGCAGAACTTTGTACAATGCCGAGGATGTAGCTCCTTATGTCGTTCATGTACAAAAAAATGAAACACATCCTAATGATAACACTACATTACATCCTATTGCATTTGGTCGCTTTTTACACACTAATAAGATAAATAATATAGTGAATGGTAGCCTCAAAAGAATAGGAAGAAACCGTTTATCGCTTTCTTTCTCAAATTTTGAAAATGCAAATGCATTTTTAAATAATAGTCACTTAGAAACACATAATTTTAAGGCATTTATACCTTCTTTCCATGTAACCCGTATGGGAATTGTGAGGGGTATTCCTAAAGATTGGACAGAAGAGGAAGTAATCCAAAATATATCAGTACCTATAGGTTGTGGGAGAATTCTAAAAACCAGAAGAATTAAGAAAAAGACCATTAATGAAGGACAACCAAGTTTTATTAATACTGAAACCATTGTTATTACTTTTGATGGACAAATATTACCAAAAAGAGTATTTATGTTTTACACATCATTAACTGTAGATTTGTACATTTACCCCACTATCCAATGCTATAACTGCTGTAGGTTCGGACATGTCAAGATGCAGTGTCGTTCAAATCCTCGGTGTTATAAATGCAGGCAAAATCATACAGGTGATAAATGTGAAGTAGATGAGGAAAATGTTTCTTGTATCTTGTGTAATGGTTCTCATTCAGCAATTAGTAAGAAATGTCCTGAATATGCACGTCAGAAAGCCATTAAAGAAACAATGGCCCACAGTTGTGTTTCTTATGCTGAAGCATCAAAATTTCATCCTCCCACTTCTAAACTATATTCAGATGTATTAACATCATCATCTCCGTCCAATAAATCTCATTTTCAATCTTCTTTCCTCAAAGAGAAATCATCATTACCACATATTCAATCATCACATAAAAAAACAGTTACACTTAAACCACGCTCTCCTCAAAAAGCACAACAAGGATATGATCGTTCTGCCCATGAAGCCATAGTTAAGGAATATAATATTCCTGCTCCCTCTAATGGTTGTGCATTATCATCAAATAATATTGACAATAATCAATCCATCTTTGATATTATTCTCATGCTTATTAAAGTGTTATCGCAATCGAAGATGATACAAACAACTTTACCACCGTCCAACGATGCCATTTACAATGTATTTTCTCAATTATTAACTTCTCACAATGGATTACAAAGTCCTAATAATTCAGTGGAACTGTCGTAGCATAACAAACAAGAAATCAGACTTATTTTATTTGATTAATAAATATAATCCTTTTATAATAGCTCTCCAAGAGACTTGGTTAAAGCCAGGATATCCTTTTAGGATTTCAGGCTTTATAAGTCTCCGTGATGATAGAGCTGACGGATATGGCGGTGTTGCCATATTGGTCAAAAACTCCCTTCCTTTTTCTTCTTTTTCGCTTCCTGTATATAGCGGCATTAATGCAGCTGCTATAATTATAAATGGTATCTGTTTTGTTACTTTATATATTCCTGATCCTACATGCCAAATATATTCACAACTAGAACAATTATTTTCAATTTTACCTAAACCTTTTCTCGTAATGGGCGATTTTAATGCTCAACACCAATCGTGGGGCAGTTCTACTTCTAATTTTTATGGTGGAAAACTCCTGACGATAATTGACACTTACAACTTATGTATTATTAACTCAGATGTACCAACACGTAGAACTGCACCGAATGAAGGGTTTAGTGCTCCTGACATTTCAATATGTTCTTCTGATTTAGCTTCTTCACTGTCGTGGTATCCTCATTCCTCTACTTTCGGAAGCGATCACTTTCCCCTCATTCTTTCTTTTCCAATTTCCATTCCCTCAAGTCGAAAGAGTGGTCCTCGGCTTAAATATAATTTATCAAATGTAGACTGGAATATTTACAAACAATATTTAGATAATAAAATATCGGAGTTACCTATTGTTTACCATGGAAATGAACATCAATGTTGTAATGACTTGATGATAAATATGAAGGAGGTTGCTGATTTATTATTTCCTGTTAAAAATAGTGCTTCAGGGAAAATTCCCTCGCCACCTTGGTGGGACAAAGATTGTACGGAAGCAATTAAAAATCGTAAAGAGGCTGAAAAAAATTATAATAATTACATGACACCAGAAAATTTTGAAATTTACACCGCAGTTTCACGTTCTACTCGAAAACTACTGAAAAAAAGAAATTAGAAGGCTGGAGAAGATTTTGTTCTTCTATCTGTCCAGAAGTTAATTCATCAGTCGTTTGGAATAATATTAAAAGATTCAGATCTGCCTTTAGTGATCATACATCACGTTCTGCACTCGATTTAACTTTAGCGAATAAATTTTTAGATCGTCTTGCTCCTAGTTATGTGCCGGAATGCCTTTACAATATTTCTCTATCCGTCTCTGACGAATTATTCGAACTTGACTCTCCTTTTACTCTAGTAGAACTTAAAGGTGTTCTAGCTTCTATTAAAGACTCTGCACCGGGAGAAGACGGTATACCGTATTCCTTTTTAAAAATGCTAGCGATGCGACATTAATTTACTTTTTAAATATAATTAATTCCATAATTATTTCGGGAAATATACCTACTTCATGGAAGTCTCAGATTATTATACCATTTTTAAAGCCTCATAAACCACCTTCTGAACCATCTTCATACCGTCCTGTTGCACTTTCCTCTGTCTTACTAAAGCTAGCTGAACATTTAGTGAAAAACCGTCTAGAATGGTTTTTAGAAAGTAATAACTTACTATCCCCGAACCAGTTTGGTTTTAGGAAAGGTAAGAGCACCTTAGATAATGTGAGCATTCTTATTTCAGATATTCATATAGCTTTCTCAATCTAAAATTTGTCAATCCTCTCAGCCTTTTTAGATATAAATTCTGCCTATGATAATGTAATAATTTCTATTTTAAAAACTAAATTACAAGCTCTAAATGTACCGGTAATGCTTTCTAATTTCATTATTAATATTTTATCAGAAAGAACAATATATATGAATTTAGATGAAGATACCAAATTATCTAGAACAGTATGGAAAGGCCTTCCACAAGGATCTGTTCTCAGTCCAATCTTATTTAACATATACACATACGATCTAGAATTATTCCTTGATAAATCCGTCAAAATTTTACAATATGCTGATGATCTTTTATTATATTTTATTGCGAAGTCCATAGAATCTGCTTCTGCCAAATTATCTGATTCATTAGATTTGTTAAAAACGTGGTTAGATGCAAATGGTCTTAATCTTTCTGTAACCAAGAGTAGTGTAGTTTTGTTTTCAAGAATGAGATCACCGCAACAAATTAAGGTGCTTTATGATAACTCATACATTCCTATAAAGACTGAAATTAAATTTTTAGGTATCGTGCTAGATAATAAATTAACAGGTCTGTCCCACTGTAATTATATTTCTACGAAATGTGAGCGTAACCTCAACATTCTTAGGTGCCTTGCTGGAGTTTGGTGGGGAGCACATCCCGTTTCACTAAAACTTGCTTATAATGGTCTTATAAGGAGTGTCATTGATTATGGAACTTTTTTGTTAGCTCCAGGAAGTTCATTTGCTTTTAAGAAATTGGATTTAATTCAATCAAAGGCCTTGAGGATTATCTCTGGAGCAATGAAATCAAGTCCAATCAATGCTTTACAGCTCGAAGTCGGTGATCCACCTTTGGTTTTAAGAAGACAATATCTATCTGATCGCTTCTTTTTTCGTTGTTTACAATTATCTGATCATCCGCTTATTCAAAAGTTATCTCAACTACATATCTTTATTTCGTCTTCATCTTATTGGAAACATAAAAAACCTCCATGTTTAATACAAAGTTATGAAAAATATAAATCCATAGAATCTCCCACTTTTACATCGTCCTGTTTTCCCATTTATAAATGCTCATATCAATCTTTAGTTTTATCTCCTAATATTAAATATGATTTTGGGTTATTAAAAAATGATTCAGAATTGAATGCCAAATTTATGTTTATAACTGACATTGAATGGAATGAATGGCACTACATCTTTACTGATGCATCAAAACCAGACAATAGCGGTTGTGTAGGTGTGGGTGTGTTTCATTCACAATTTAATATCGTTCAAAAAATTAAACTTCCACCGGAGTCTTCAGTTTTTACCGGGGAATGTTATGGTATTTTAAAAGCTGTAGAATATATACTTTTAATGAAATTACATAAGGCAATAGTTTTCACTGACTCTATGAGCTCTTTGCAAGCTCTAGCCAAATATCCGTTTAAATCAAAACCAGTTTATCCCATTATTTGTGACATAAGACAAAGTCTTTATCTTTGCATGTTGAGAGGTTATTCCGTTTCTTTTGCCTGGTTACCAGGACACAGTGGTATTAGCGGCAATGACAAAGCTGACCTTATTGCAAGAGAGGCTGTAACTTGTGGTGATATGTATCCGTATCATAATTACTGTAGTGACCTAGCTTGTCTCCCAAAAATATATTTAAGGTATGCCTGGAAGGAATATTGGGAAAAAACAAGTACAATAAAAGGAAGATTTTATCGCCTTATACAACCCGATATTCCTTTCAAACCATGGTTTTGTAAATTAAAGCTTGGAAAGACCGCAACAACTATTATAACTCGTATGCGTCTAGGTCACGTATGCACACCTTCTCATTTATACAAGCTTGGTATTGTACAAAGTTCGTCGTGTAATTGCGGTGCTGAAGTGGCGGACTTGAATCATATATTCTTCTCATGTTCTAAATTTGACCACACCTCCCTTTTTAATCATCTCCGATCCATCCGTGTTCCATTCCCAACTTCTATTCTTACTCTACTTTCTTCCAATGATCCTATTATCTATAAAATACTATCTTCATATATATATGATAACAATATTAAGATTTAGTTATATTACATGAATACATTTATAGTTGCATCAATTGCTTTTCCTATATATTTATAAGTATATTCTCATATGTACAAGTATATGTTTCATATCCTATAAATATCCTAGACCTAATCCTTATCCTTTCTAAATTCGTTTGTGTTAGGTATTTTTATTACTATTATCGTTTCCCCGTTTTGTTCTTGGCAAAATACCCTAATATCGGGGTGAACGCCACAAAAAAAAAAAAAAAAAAAAAAAAAAAAAAAAAAAAAAAAAAAAAAAAAAAAAAAGCAATCTGTCAGTCAAAATTTTTTCTTTGTTAAAATTTTCATGATTGATTATCTGTAATTCTTCATTTACTAATTTTCTTATTTTATTGAACTAAATAAAAAAAAAGGATTTTACTATATTCGACGGACTAGGTTTTACAGAAATATATTAAATTTTTAATGCGACCAATTATCAAGCAGATATCAACACCATGAGCAGTCGTTATCACGACTACAACAAAGGTATCAAAATGGCATGGAATATTTATATTTTAGTCTCCATATTTAAATTATTAAAACGTTATCACAAAGATCTCTAATATTTTGCTCAGTTATATATATTTTTATTTATCTTTGCCAGTGTTTTCGCATTGGCAGGGTCGTCTCGATCCACGCGTGATGATTCTAGGGCGTATAGCAGAGAAGAACGGTGGGAAGGACACGGAAAGAGGAGGTCGCGTTCACGCTCCCGATCTCCAAGGAAGGAGTCACCGCCGTCTAGAAGCAGTAAATATTCATCAGAACGATCTAGAAGCCACGAAAAAGACCGAAGATATGAAGGTACCTATTATGTATGACTTCACATTATAAAGTCTGTATTGTAAATCCTTAAAGCCCATATTTGCGATTCCTTTTTGTTTTTAAAAAAGTAATATTGTTTGTATTTGAAAACTAGTTATGTACTACGTTATTACATACATTTTACCAGAGGGAGACTTTGTACAAATGTCGATTGCTTGGGTACCTCTGTCTCATTCGTGTTTCAACTGTGAAGCAGTTGTGTTTGCATGGCTGTCTTTCGATTTGAAGGGTGGGATATGACGTGAATTTACAGGGTACAGAGGAATAACACTTGAATCCTCAGGAATGGCAACGCATGGGGGGTATCATGGGAGGAAACAGTATACTCTGTTATGGCCATGGTACTGCTCGTGTCTATAGGCTACGGTTACCACTTTCCATCAGGTGGGCCGTCAGCTTGTTTGCCATTCTAAGTCATATAAAAAAAAAGTTCACTCACTTTACTCACTCTATAAAAGAACTGTTATGATATAAATGTATATTAAATTGTGTGAATATGATTAAAATATGTAAAAATATTTCAATAAGAACAATTTCATATTATCTACATTGAAAATTGTTTGTTTTAGATAAAAGAATCGAAGAAAGTAATTATGACTGGGAGAACTCTGATGATGAAGTTCCAGCTCCACCACCTCCACCTCGCATCACCAAGATCTCCATTGGTTTCACTAAACCCAAGGCTCCAATTAAAATGAACCTCAGCAATCCAGCTAAAGTAGCTGCTGGTCCTGTCAAGGCAACTATTGCATCAGTGTTCAATGATGATGATGATGATGATGAACCTGAGGAAATGCCAGCTGAAGCTAGAATGAGGATGCGGAACATTGGCCGGTAGGTTCATTGACAATTAACACAAAAAAAGGAATAATATCTATCTCATGACAATTTTCCTCCAAAAAAAATCTTGTTCATAGTTTTCAGTTATATAAACATAGCATATATTTAAATGTATATTTTTAGTTAGTTAAAAAACAATCAATTTAAATAAATTCATCTTTTTTGTATATAGTTAAACTATGATACAAAACAAAATTGAAAAATTCAATTAGAAATATTTGATCTCTTTTATCTTTGATCTTACATAAACCATGAATTTGAATGTCTTAAAATCAAAGTATCATTTGTTTAATTGAGCAGAAATAGTTTAAAGTAATAATAAAACATTAAAAACGACATTATTTGACAGATTTATAAATTCTATCGTCTTCTCCATAACAAATATTATTTCAAATGTCATAACAATTAGTTGAACTGTTAAACAGTAACAAAGAAACAGATTTTAATGTTTATGGTATTAATAATTAGACTCATGTAATGTTTGAAGACATAATTACATACTTATGTTTAATAAATAAATTAATTTAATATTTGTTTTGTATTTGATTATACTAGTGTATTATTACATAAATATTTTATCACTCTTTTACAGTGAAACTCCCACATCGGCCGGTCCAAACTCCTTTGGCAAGACCAAACAAGGCTTCTGTGATGCCAAGAAAGTGTTTGAGAAGAACCTAAAACAAGCATTGGAGACTGCAGAGAAGCCTCCCATGCCCAAGTTTCCACAGACCATATATAAAATTAAAGGCCCTTGATAGTCCAATGATAAGTGGTTTAAAACTAAAAATTGAATCGATTAAGTCTAATGTAGAATAAAGTGTAGAATATTTTACTAATATTTACTCAACTCTGATAAATTTTAATTTTGCCATAAAAAAATCTCAATAATAATATCAATATGTAACATCTATGCTTAAATATATTTTTAATACCACTTTTCATGTTTGAGATTGATCATATACAATCTAGATGGAGTAGAAAATGTAATATTTTTTACAAAATAGTGTGTCATTCTTAAATGTGTAGTTGCAAGTTACACAACCTGGATGAAGTGTAAAATGTCATATCTCTTTTACAAAACAGCATTGTTTAGTGTGTAGTTACAAATAATAACTGTATAATTTCGGTATCTTTATTCATGCACACTAAACATTTAATTGTGAAGTCAACGTTAGACCAATCTTTGCTCGCCGATATAGATATATATTTTTTTTTAATTAAATTTTTGTTGAGGCTTAGTACACCAAAGTGACTATGCCAGCCTCATAGGGATTGTCTGATAGTCAGTCTGTCAGTCCGTCAGGGACACCTGTACCCACACATATAGCCGTCTTGCATTGTGACTGCCAGGTTGACCCAGTATTATATATTTAATTCCATACAATTTACTTCTATTCATATAGTCACATGTTATGGGACACTATGGCTGTTGGATGCTTTCGATTCGCTTGGGATGGGATATATGATATAAACTGTTTTACATAATAATAAAACAATTGGAAACCATTTGTTTATAAACAAATACTCTATCTACATCTATATGATCTACTTTTAAAATGTTTACCAATATTTTATGTCCTGTTTTGAACAACTTTATCCCTTTCAGACCTGAACGACACGGGCGTGAGTTGTAACTTTCAAAAATTCTAAAACCGCGCGCAATTCATTTTTACGCACGAAGCTGAAATAACATAATAGTGAGATTCTAAACCAGCCAATAAGAAATCATTTTAGCGGTTAGGTGGTGCAGTTTTGTCGTGCGTGCCGGCAAGACGGCTTGGCTCCAAAACACGAAAATATATTTAATCTGAAAGAAAAAAAATCTTGGGTCTGAAAGGGATATACAATTAGACAGTCAAATCTATATCTGTATCTATTATTTATTTGGTCAATCTACAAAATATTTTTAATGGAATTGAACAAAATGATATTCTGGTTATGTGGTCTTCTACATATAAAATTGAGATATGTATCTATGTATCTGTGTTTAATTTTACTGGATTCATGCATATTAATAGATATTATTGTAATATTTTCTTGTTGTCTATTTATTTTACCAATTTGTGTTCACACCTCGTCCTGTATAAGTTAAGAGAATGTTTAAATATCTCCATGTATTTTCATAACTACTTTCACACCCAACATAAATAGGATAGTTTGTTGCGGTAACACTTTTTAGCAACAAGCTCACGGCTCGCCTTATAGAAAATGTTAACCGTCGCCTGCTTATACATAATACACAGTGACGCCTATGATACGAGTTTGTAAGAAAGCAAATACGATTATGCAGAAAGAGAAAAATAGATAATTTATTTGCATTATTTACAGTACGCAAATTATAAGATATACAGATATACATACAAAGCGAGATAACATATATGATTTAAAAAATACATAAGGCCAAATACAATAAAGGTTATAAGATTCTATTTGAATTCGGACTAGAAATATGCAGACAAAAGCAGGATGCCAATACAATAATTTTCATGCAACTTGGCTGTAGTATGTAAAGTAGCTGACAGCCAACAAGAATGTGTTTTTTTTAATGGAATGATAACACCGCCTTCGCTATCGGTATACACTGGCGGGGCACCAGTAAATGATGATAGGTGAGGGTGAAACAGGTCAGCACAACATGACGAATTCAACAAGAATTTGCCACGATGTTTTCCAGGGGGAACTATGTGAAGGTTGACCTGATTGGGTATATTGCCAGCAATGAGGCTGTCAACTCCCATTACTGACAATCCCTTTCCCCCTAACAAGAATGTGCTAGCCAGACATAACACCATGAACATAGCAGAATAGTGTCTCTCACGGTATCTCTTTTCTTTAATGGATGATAATGAAATGGTAACCTCGCCTGTGCTAACAGTATATGTTGGTGGGGCACCAGTGAGGCATGATAGGTTCTTACCTATCATGCCTCACTGGTGCCCCACCAAATGAAGCAGGTCAATTGGCCCATCGTAACAAATTCACTAATCAATCACGATGGTTTCCAGGGGGAACCGCGAGGAGGTCGACCTGATAGGGTATATTGCTAGCAACAGGGTTACTAATCCTGGTTACCAACAATCCCTTTTCCCCCTTTTCACATTATCTTAGAATAAAGGTGTTGACTTCGTACCATAATAATTTCACTACAGTATGTACTTCTCTTCAAACCAAAACATTGCATACAATGGAATGTAACAATAAAAGGAATATAAGCAAATGGCAGGAAAGTCATGTAAGAAAAACTGCTAAATAATAACCAAGGTAAACAACCTGGAATTTGATAGAAAAGCGAAATATTCCGGGAGAAAGCGCGCTCCTCAGGGGTAGCCATATATAGTTACAAATCTCAAGAGATACCAGAACACAGAATGTCTTGAATAAATAATAGGTCATAACAATAAAGCAATATTTATTTATTGGAGATTAAAAATAAGATGAGAAATTTCATTTACAACAAAAATTATCGACCTCGTCGTGGTTCCCCCTGGAAACTGTCATGGTTAATTCCTGATGAATTCATTATGATGGGCTAACTGGCCTGTATTCATTCTCATCTATCGGGTGATAGATGAGAATGAATACAGGCTTCACTGGTGCTCCGCAAGCGTATGCCGTTAGCGCAGGCGGGGTTACCATACCATTTTCACCCATCAAAAAAAAAAAGACTAGCAAAGTACACCTACATGAATTCATTTAAAATTATTAAGAGGGGATCTTATTAATATCATAATAATAGTGATTATTTATTATTGATAATATAGTTATTATTTATTTACCACGAGGATCTAAATCTTAAATAAATATAAACTATAAAATTTCATTTATATTCAACTGCTTAAATGTAATTTTTTTTTTATACAACTTAGAATGGCAATCTAACGTTCATCTCACGCCATATCCCACCCTTCAAACCGAAACACAGCCATGCAACTGCTTCACGGTTGAAATACGAATGAGACTGAGGTACCCAAGCAAAGGACTTTTAAATCTACTTTCATATTTATAATATCAGGTATATCCTAGAGTTTAAAGTATCCTACACTAAGTTGGGATATAACCTACTCACTTACCAAATTTCATTCGAATCCGTTTAATAGTTTGCTTGAAAAAGTGATAAATATTTATTGATCCTTACAAATCTTCGCATTTATATTTATTATTAGTATTAAGATTAACTAAATAAATTATTGCCCTCTACCCTAGGCAATAAATAAAAAAGGAGTTTATGAAATAAAAAATATACACTTGGATTTTTTTACTTTTTATTAAAGTTTACTTCCTCTGTACATTCTGTGGACGAGCCATATCCCGTGGGAAGGTGCTCTTGGGTGGTGTTCTGATACGCCTGTCCTTCTTTGATCTGTTACGGACCACTTTACTGTGGATGGCGCACGACACACAGTAGTGAAGCTTAGCATACAACTTAGGCAACTGGAATGCTGTGAAAACAAAAAAACAATAAAAATTAATGTTTAACAAACTTAGTGTACTGACTTAGGATATTTACTGAACTCAATCACTAAATTTGATTGCAGATTGTGATGTTTTTGACAGAAAGAAACAAGTAATCAGCAAATAATAATAAATTGGAGAGTTAATGTACATAGATGTAAAAGTGTTTTAACAAATAAATATTCATTTTATTTTATTCATTTATTTCAAAATATTATATATTGGAAAGACAGAAAGAGTGAAAGTAAAACCTAAACTAAACCTTCACATATTTTTCTTATTATGGCAAACTCAAAAGTGTTTTAATATTAAACTGACAAACAATTTGTTGATGCGGTTTAAAAGAGGTAGCATTTTATTTCACTAAGGTATATTTTTTCCGAATAAAGACTGTCCTATTGCTAAAGCTGAAGCAAACAATACCAGAATCATTGTGACAAGAGATTTTTATATATTAAGAAGTTGGTTTTTACTAAGTTTATTACCATAGTGTTTTGGAGGAAACAGTGAAGTATCTCTTTAGCTATTACTTAAAATGTTTCTTGTCTATTATTAAAAATTTTAAACAAACCCATTAGTGTTTAATGACCGTAAACTTTTTATCAAAAACACAAATAAATAATTATAAAAGGAATAGAAAAAAAATCTGTGGAAGTAGTAGTGTTACAACTTATAAAGAAGAAAAAGCATGATGAAGAGTTATTCAAAGAAGGGACAGTGTCTAGTTCTTTCATAATAAACATAATTTGATAGAATTAATTTTTATAAAATTATTGACCTCTTTAAAAGTTAAAAAATTTGATAATCCTAAAGAAATGTAGAGGATTCACTTAGAAAAGCCTCAATTGATTGATTATTATAAGGCTGCTCAGAAATACAATTCTTTTCAGTAGAGATATATGCCTAGGAGTGGGATGTCAATTAATTATGATAATGAATAACATAAATAGCTAGCATGAAATGTTAAAATTATTTGAACTTTTTCTTGAATTACTGAAATGAGTAGATCAAAGCAAACCAAATATTTATCAAGTAAAAAAAATCAAAAATTTTATAAATTTTGGAACAAATGTCTATACGATCTAAGATTAGGGTGATTGTAACTTACAGGCATATACGGAGGCTTCGTTTATGTCTCTCACTGCAGCCGCTTCCACTATATTCCTTATTACAAATTTTTTGATTGCCTTGTCCTTAGGGACGCAGCGAGCGCAGTTAGTGCATCTCACGGCTTTCACGTGGCCACGGCCGTGCTTGGCGCGACCTCCGTTGCGGCGTTTGCGAGTCTGAAAGAGAACAGAAATTGTCGGCCACATGCTTCAGATATCAACATCATGTGTCATACGGGACACCTTTTGCAATATATAATATAAAACACTACTAAAATACATTTCGTAAAAATATTGCACAAAATAAAAGTATATTTTAACTTTTAATTCTGTATTTTAATTAAAAAAAGATTACGCACCATGTTTCTAACCTCTGATTCAGTAAACGAAAGAAAGATGGAAACTAAAGTTTGAACATAGACAACTTGGTGACAGCAGAAACTAACTTCCGGCTACAGCTGTCAAATCGGCAAAATGTTGCCATTGGTAACAAAGATTTCCTTGTTCTTAGATTACTAATTTAGAACCATCAACTTTGTCCTCTTTTACATATTTTAAAGTTGATATGAAAAATTACGAGGTCAAAAAAAAAAAAGGCGAAAAATGTAAAACATTTTTCGCATAAAACAATGCAAGATCAAAGAATTTGGGGTTCTGTTTCTAAACAATTAAGAGTTAAATTAAAACATTTCGATTCCTGAATTATATAGATAGATTTCTAATCTTAAAAAAATTGTTACTTTTCTCTTTATTATGTACTCATTTCTTCCAAATTTTCATAGTTGTATTTAAATTACCTTGTATTATTGTTTGTAATTTTTGTATGATATTTCTAATATTTAGTGCAATAAAAATATTCCAATATTATTAATATGTTTTTACCCATACTACTCAAAGTTTTGGTTTTTAATTTTACGACCGATCGCCTACCTGACGTCATCACTCTAAAAATAAAATAACAATAATAATAATATATGGCCTTTATTAGCACTTTGTAAATAAAGACGAATCTAAAGACATTTTATTTATGAAAATCTAACAAGTTGATTAGGTTACTCAGTTAAGTGAAAAATATCATATTATTAATTAAAATAATATAAGTATTAAAACTCTTTCAAATCTATTACATACACAATTCCACTACATGCTTATATGCCTTTGCGCATATATATTATATACACATGTGCAAATCAATGCGTCTTAGTCAAATTAGAGCGACATGATTTTATAATAGTCCTCTTTACAATTAACATAACTTAATTTTGAACTTCGACACAATTTATATTATATTTATTTTTATTAAGTATCTATTATAAATAATACAAATGACATAACTTGAATTATAAATTATTTACTTAAAAAAATAGTAAAATGTTCATAGACAAGTTTCCAATCGACACGTTCCCATTCTCAAAGTGAATCATTCAAAAACCATTCAATTCAGTCAACATCAATCAACAAAAAAAAAAAACTCTGTTCTGTTACGAATATTTTATTTCTGTGTAATATTATTTTAGTTGCTATTAATAATAGAATCATCAAATTTTATTTGTTTAGCTTTTTCATGATCTCATAATAACTGCAATATGTTCGACATCGGTATATAATTGACGACATAACTTTATTTACTTCGTCATCGCGTGATTGTCCTCGGTGCTTATTCGTAACATCATAGTTTGGTATTTAAATTAACATTTAGTGAAGTGAGATGCTGTGCAGGTAGTAGATTATCGTGTGTGTACCGCGTGTGAAATGTCACAACATGGATGCCCAGAGAGACTATCCAATAGAGCCAAGGGTTTTGAAGATGAGGGTCCGAGTCAGCCGACCATGGAGGTGTTGGTGGAAACACTCACGGGGACCGCTTTCGAAATGACAGTATCACCGTCCGACACTATTTTCGCCATTAAATCCAAGATATTCAGGGTGGAAGGTGAGTTTCTGTTTGATATTACACAACAATACAATTTGCGAGCATGTATGGCAATGCGTCATAGCCACACACGACAAAGAATGTCGCAGTTATTGGAGACACTAGTTTACATTATTTCCGTGTTTATTGTGATACATTTGCCATCTAATCACTATTATTAAGTTACAAAGCTGTCAGTAAGTAATTGTAACATGTAATTAAATTTAACACTGTAGTGTTATACTCACATATAAATAAACAGTAGCCTATTTGTATCAATAGTTCTAAAGTTCTGAGAATAGAATTGATCTGTTCTCAGAACTTTAGAGCTATTTATTAGACTATACTAGTTATTTTTATCTCTTATCTATGTGCTTAATTTATATTTGTAATGAAAAATAGGTAATATGCTATAAAACTTGAAGCTGTATAATTAAATCAAAATAAACTGACTTCAGTTGTGACAAAACCAGTTATTATGTTTTAAAAACTAACCTACTGAACCAATTTTGATGTAATTTCTATGTGACCAATCTGATAAGATGGAGCTCTGATAATAAATAAACAAAAATATGCAACCAAATTGATAATCTTCTTTTTCTAATAGGCTAGTCCCTCTAACTAGCACTACCATTTATTAATTACTAACTTTGGTTTGAACATAACACTCAACTTCCTCAAGAAGTAATGAACAAACAAAAAATAAATAATAAAAAAAAACAACAGAAATGCTTCCGCATTTAAAATACTGATCAAGATAGTCTTCTGGCTGATGGTGAAGAAGAAATGAAGAAATATCTTTACTAGGGCTCTATATATATATATATATATATATATCTATATATATATCTAGTGACAAAGACAATGTGGGCCAATACCCTAGAAGTGCCAATAAGACTATATGTAAAGAAGAAAATGTTTAACATTTAAAATGGAAGAGAAGGTTGTTAGTAATGCAATTTAAGTGACCATTGCTGGTAATGAACTCTTAACAGGTTAAGTCTCTGTAAGGTCAAAACATTGTGGTTGATTTATGATGAATTAGACAAAATTACCCAATCAATCTGATTTCATCCTCACCCATTAACTCTTACTGGTACTCCACCAGCATATACCAATAGTGCACGTAGGGGGGAAAGGGATTGTTATTAATGGAGACTGAGAATCCCATTGCTAGCAATATACCCTACTAGGTCGACCTCCTTGCGGTTCTCCCAGGAAACTATCATTGTCAATTCCTGGTGAATTTATCATGATGGGCTAACTGGTCTGGTTTCATTCTCATCTATCACCCTTCAGTGGTGCTCTGCCAGTGTATCCTGTTAGTGCAGGCAGGGTTACCATACCATTTTTACCCATAAAAAAAAATTGTGCACTTAAATGTTGCCATTCTATTTGCATCTCCTGTGGAGTACAGGACACAGGATAGCTTTATATTATTATTTACCAAATTTGGCATTGACACACATCTCTATTGTTTCCTTTTAAGCTTGCCTTTACAGTCTTAGTTTTCTAAGTTCCTTTTATCTATATACATGTATTTCCAATTTCCATTCCTGGTTTCCTTTGCCTCCTAAAAAATACTTTTAAAAAGGCCTTTTGTTTAAGTTGCACATAGTTAAGTCAGGCATCAGTTTTAACAATGTAAAATGCATTACTGCATTAATATGTTTAAAATGTAGATACAATTATCATAGTGACCTACTCCCCAATTCATGGACATACTCTTTCTTTTGTGCACTGATAATCATTCACATTAGTCAGTCATTTAAATTCAAATATTCTTCATTATTATCATACTTCCCTTATATTTATTTTATAATAAATTAATGAAGAAATGTATTAAATATGTACAATCAAAATATTTAATAAAATAAAAAAAAAAAAAGTTGTCTATGCACTCATTGTTTGTATTATGGAAATATCTGAAAACCATTTTTTATAGTTTTATCCAAATTACTTAAGAAACTTGAAGAAACACTCTATTTATGAAAAAACAATATCACAGACAATGACTTCTTATAGTTCTGGCTGGAATCTTACATCTTTTTTTTTTTTTATTTCAATATTTTAAAATTATACACAAACAAATAATTACAAAATTATCTATGAACAACAGAGTAAAAAACTAGCCTGTTTTTCTGTCTTACATTCTGCCTCTAGCAACATGTAGCAACAGCTGTTTACGTATTTAGGGTACCTATGTAATAATGTAGTCAGAGAGACACACAACAGGTCAATGAAATTTCCTATGTTGTTTTGATACAGTGCCAACACAATAATGTTGAGATCTGTTTGTAGATTTGGACTAGTCTTGTAATATTGATTTGTGATATCAGAGTATTTGGCACAATTCTAGTGTATTTGGCACAATACTCAGGAATGGAGATCGTTAGTAACAAGGAAGAGTGTTTATGTTGCTAGCAATATGGGCATACTTGTTGTATCACACTGCTTCATCCTCATTAATATAGCATAGTCAGGTGAACTTCTGTGTAATTTCCTTGGTTATCAATAATTATCATAGTTAATTCCAATGGAGTCTTATCCTCTATTCTAGATTTGGTTGTATTTCAGTTTGAAGGATTCTTTTTAATGGATGATACTGGAATGATAACAACACCTGCGCTATCGGTATATGCTGGCGGGCCACCAGTGACGGATGATAAGTCAGAATGAAAGGGCAGATCAGTTAGCCCACAATGATGAATACACCTGGAATTCAGCATTATGGTTTCCAGGGGGAACCGCGGGGAGGTCGATCTGATAGGGTATATTGCTTGCAATGGGAATTGCCTTCTCCCGCACAGTTTGATGGGTGGAACATGGCACTGAAGTTATAGTGTACAGAGGCATAAGATCATAGTCATCAGGAATGGCAACATGTGATGGGTACCATAGACATAATAGTGTATTTTGTAACATACACTGTGCTGTCCATGTATTTATTTGGTATTCTAGGTATTTTAAAAAAACATATTTCCATCCTGGACTTTTCATACAAAAATGACGTTATCTGTGGTTATGCATTAAAATATAAACAAATAATATTAGTATGTGTACATATGTGTGTATGTCAATTTTTTTTAATAGATGATAATGGAATGGTAACCCCACCCGCGCTATCGGTATACACCGGCGGGGCACCAGTGAAGGATGATAGGTGAGGATGAAGTAGGTCAGTTAGCCAATCGTGACCAATTCCACTAGAATTAACCACGATGGTTTCCAGGAGAAACCGCGTGGATTTCGACCTGATAGGGTATATTGCTAGCAATGGGGTAGTTAGACCCCATTACTAACAATCCCTTTCCCGCCTGAAATTTATGTTAAATTTAGACTAAGTTATTAATAATAAAGCTAAATTATTTATTTATTTCTTATTGCATTCCATAATATACTTAGTAGATAACATTTCAATTATGGACCCTGTTGGGCACAGCGAGTACGAGAGAGGAGGACAACACTTTTTTCACTTTAGAAATAGTCTAAGGATCTGTTACAATGTTATCCAGCCATTGTACAAAAGTCGATTGCTTGGGTACCTCTGCCCCATTCGTGTTTCAACCGTGAAGCAGTTGTGTTTGCATGACTGTGGTTCGGTTTGTTTCGGTTCGGTGGGATATGGCATGAATTTACAAGGTACAGAGGAATAACACCTGAGTCCTCAGGAATGGCAACGCTTGGGGGGTATCATGGGCGAAACAGTATACTCTGTTATGTCCATGGTGCTGCTCATGTCGATAGGCGACGGTTACCACTACATCAGATGGGCCGTCAGCTTGTTTGCCATTTTATTTGGCTACATTTAAGTATTTTATTGTATATGTAAGGATGAAGAAAACGTGGTAAGTGACTATTTTAAAATATGTTACAAGTCTATTATCAAATGTTATTTTTTGGATAACGGACTTCTAAGATATTTGTTATTGGACCAATATATAGGTATTGTAACTAAAATATATACATACTGCTATATATTGTAACTCAGATTAGTTGCAGTAGACGCAGATTGGGGCTTGTTTGTAGAATTTAGAAATTGATATGAAAAAATCCAGACTTTAGCGCAATATTAATATAGGACCAATGTTTAACACTTTACAAGTAAACCCTATCGATGGCAAAAAGAATTATCGTAATCGGTCACGGAAACGGCGAAGATAATACTGTATACACATGATGAACTTAATTTCTCTTCGAAAAACAAAAAATGAATATAGTATTTTATTATATGTGTGACGTCGGATACTCATAATGTTGTGCAATAATGAGTCATTACATAGTATAAAACAGTCGTTTCCCGTTTGTCTGTCGCTATGTATGCTTAGATCTTCGAAACTACGCAACGGATTTTGATGTGGTTGTTTTAATAGATAAAGTGATACAAGAGGAAGGTTTATATGTATAATACATGCGTAATATAGTAAAGTGGGGGGAAGGGATTGTCAGCAATGGAGTTTGGCAGCCCAAATGCTAGTTTGCTAGTTGAATTCGTCACGATGGGCTAACTGAGCTACTTCATCCTCACCTATCATCTATATATATATATTTAGTGGTTTCTAATTAATTAATTTCTAATATGATGTGATAAATAAATAATAAAGTGTTTCAACCGTGAAGCAGTTGTGTTTGCATGGCTGTGTTTCGGTTTAAAGGGTGGGATATGGCGTGAATTTACTGGGTACAGAGGAATAACACCTGAGTCCTCAGGAATGGCAAAGCATGGGGGGTATCATGGGTGAAATAGTATACTCTGTTATGTCCATGGTACTGCTCATGTCTATAGGCGATGGTTACCACTTTCCATCAGGTGGGCCGTCAGCTTGTTTGCCATTCTAAGTTAACACATCCTTTGTACGGGCTAATCTTCAAAACTGTTAGACCGATTTAAATAAAATTTTGCATGGTGGTACCTTACGATACCTGTCAACATTTTAATCACGAAATATTAAAGAGTTGTGTGGGATAGTTAAAAAAAAACTGTAGTAACTTGCACAGCTTAGTACACAACCTACTTAAGT